AAAATTACAGGGTATTAGTAGACTTAAGTATGTATTAGTCGGAAAATGAGCCTTTTAATCAGCTACTTTCCCTTAGTACTTAATAGCCCGAGCTAGTTACGCCAGTTAAACACTAAATTACAGGGTATTCACCTAGGTATTTCTACTAATTCCAAAATAATTGCCCTAAATTACAGGGTATTCACCAAGCCACTTGACCAAGGTCCAAAATAATACCTTAGCTTAGCCCTGAATTACAGGGTATTCGCCAAGTTCCAAAATAATACCTAAGCTTAGCCCTAAATTAGAGGGTATTCACCAGGCTACCTCCCCAAGCTATTCAACTGCTCCAAGCAGCAAATACCACTTTATATGCGGTTCCTTTTCTTTTTTTCTCATATGCAAATGCATCTAAGTAGCTTTAGACTGCCCATTTCCCTCCAGCATAAAATTACAGGGTATGAATTGGAGTTAATTTAAAATCTTTTTAACTTTTTAAATATTATAATAATCTCTCTCTGCTAAGTTCTTCCAGCTGCCCACCCACAACTCTGTGATACACCAGCAATTACAGGGTATTTGCCTAGATTATTTTACATAATAATTACGTGGCCTCGTAAGCGCCTGATTATCAGCTTATCAGCTTGGGGTTGGGTTCCACAACAAATTGTTGGGCATGACGTAAACTTCAGATTAAAGACCGTTCCGCGCTTGCTCGAGCCGAGCCGAGCTCTGTTTTCGAGCTGCCGCCAGCTGGAAATTGGACTCCGTGCTGGCATTCGACGATGAAACTACTTCCTTTCCGTAAACGATCCATTTTATCCAAAACCAACTGTTCACGTAATTCCCCAACATGATATGCACAGCGAGTGAATCGGTTATACGATATAAACGGATTCCAATGGGCCGTACGAGTTGCATGTAAAAACCAAACAAAGGGAAATGGTTACCTTTGGTGGGTCGAATTTTGAATACCCTAGCACACATAGCAGGGACTTGTGAGATTTTATACATTTTTTTTTTATATCTAAGAAATGAAAGACTCAATTTTGAAAGATATTTTCATCTATAAAATTTCGCTCTAATATCTGAGACTTGAGCCAATTGGGAACAAATTTCTTCAAAAGCCAAATTACTTTTATACAAGAACCTATTATTAGATGGATCGTTTCTCTTGACAGAGTTTCATCAAGAAAGATTTCAACTAACAAACTAGATTCCATTGGGAATTAGAGATGAAAAGAAACAGGTCGGATGTTGATAATAATCGGATATATATGTATATGTATATACTTTAGGGAGTTGGGGTTGCCCACTTCCCAGCGTTACACATTTTCATTACAAAATAATATCATATTATTATATTGCCCTTTGTTCGGGTTTTAATAACACCTGTGGCTAACACAGCTAAAATATGCTTGGGTTTTAGACACAGATTTCCATACAAAGTGAAAAAGTTTATGTCTATATGCTATAATGTGAAAATGCTAATGTGTTATATTATAATATCAACTACTAACTTTAGCAGCAACTGTACCAAATTTCAGCCACATAGCTTCACTGGAAGGCGAGTTAACAAAGGTCTCATAGCCTTTAATTAATATGATATAGTGTGACAATCTAAATTTTGTTAAGTTAATGGGAACTACTATCAAGAGCAGCACCTGCAGCAAATTTCAGCCTCATAGCTTCACTAGAAGTCGAGTTCACATAGGTCTTTCAATAAATTTGTATATGATATAGTGCGACAATCTAAGGGATTTCTAATATAATGAGAACTACTATCAAAAGCAGCAACTGTACCAAATTTCAGCAACTTTGCTTTACTAGAAGTCGAGTTCACATAGGTCTATATATCGCAACCTAGAAATAATATGTGATGTAGTGTGACAATCTAAATGTTGTTTAGTATAATGGGAACTACTATCAAGAGCAGCACCTGCAGCAAATTTCAGCCACATAGCTCCACCAGAAGGCGAGTTCACATAGGTCTATCACTAAATTGATATATAATACAATGTGGCAAACTGAAGGATTCTTAAGACAATGCGTCCTACTATCAAGAGCAGCAACTCTGCCAAATTCCAGCAACTTTGCTTCATTCGAAGCTGAGTTACCATAGGTCTATATATCATAGCCTAGAAATAAAATATGATATAATGTGACAATCTGAAGGTTTCTTAATATAATGGGAACTACAATCGAAAGCAGCAACTGTACCAAATTTCATCAAATTTTCTCCAATAGAAGCTGAGTTCCCATAGGTCTATACATCATAGCCTAGAAATAATATATGATGCAATGTGACAATACGAGTGATTTTTAATATAATGAGAACTGCTATCAAAAGCAGCAACTGTTTCAAATTTCAGCCTCATAGCTTCACTAGAAGTCGAGATCTCATAGGTCTATCACTAAACCTATGAGCATAGGTCTATATATCATAGCCTCGAAATAATGTATGATGTAATGTGACAATCTAAATGATTTTCAATATAATGGGAACTACTATCAAAAGCAACAACTTTACCAAAATTCAGCAAATTTTCTCCAATAGAAGCTGAGTTCCCATAGGTCCCAGAGCCTTAAGAATTTTGTGTTTAAGCTAATATCATGTTGTTTCTTTATCGGAACTTTGTTTATGTGCTGTGCAATAAGCTTTAGCAATTAAAGTAGCATTTCCCAGACCCAGAAACATGCCACAGCTGCCAAGAAGCGAGATCTAACAAGAGGGCACAGCTCGGTTACACAGAACGTGATGTATTTGTTCTTTTTTTCTTCTCGCTGTTTCTTTCTTTTTATTCTGTTTTATTTTGTTTCTTGTTCTGCTCTGATGAGACAATGTCAGAAAAGTCAATTGAAGAACTCTCCGCAACGAAGAACTGGAAGCATCCATTAGATTAGGCGAGAGGCCGATGATAAGACGCAACAAGCGACGCCTCGATTAGAGGCTGTCATTTCCTCTAAATTTAGTACCAACTGCTCCATGTGTGTGTGTGTGTGTGTGTGTGTGTGCGTGTGTGCGTCGGATCTTTTTGGGTGGTGCTGTCCGTCCAGGCGGAGACTCAAATTAGCGCCGCATGACAATGATAGCGCCTCAAGGCGCTTTCAATTTAGACAATTGCGCAACTGTAAATGGAATCGGAACTGTGCGCCTGGAATTGGCACAACGTGGGCGGCAATTCTAACCTCAAAACAAAAAAAAAAAAACAAAATGAATAAGAGAAACAATAAAAAAAGCGCAGAGCAGGTTTCTCGAAGCTGAATCGAGAAATAAACCAAAAAGCGCGCTGATCAATGCGAATTGAGCTGGATTAAATGGCTTTCGCTTAATGAAATGTCAATATAAATTCTTTTTTTTTTTTTCGTTATTATTACTTTGTGTTTGTTTTTTTTTTGCACTGATGAGCCCCAAAGACGACTCGATCGACCGCACAGGTTACGATCCGTTTGATTGAGGGTCGCCAATCGTAAGACAACTCAAGGCAATGGCTGGCGACGACAGCCGCAGCCACAGCGACAACTTTCAAAACTAGTCGGCATATTCGACAAACTGCTCGACCAGTTGATACCCTGTTTAGTTTCAAATAGGTACAAATGACATATAGTTTCCAGATTAACTTTTGGGCATCTTAAAGTTGGCACTGGCACTGATTCTGCATATAATAAGAAGGGTTAGATGAGAAAAGAATGGTAATATTCTAAGGGTATAGTTATGGGTTATGTTCAGATATATGTTATATATAGGTATGTTATATATACTTGTATGTTATCTATACATAGAGCTAACTATGTACGAAATTTCGTAGCTTTAGCTCTTTCAGTCGCTGAGTTCAATGGGTATAGTCAAATATAACTAAGTATTGTCCATATAGCTGGACACATATCCTCATGCTCTCTGATATATATACATAATTTCCATTATATATTTTGCCTTACTTTGTAAAACATTTGAAGAATTATAACAATACTTCGTTAAGTGTGCCCAGAGATTATTAAGCTAGAATCTAAACTAAAACTTTATTTATATATATGCTCTGCCTATCCTCGGTTAACTATATACGGAATTATCTGACTCTCAGCCCACGTTTCGCTGAGTTCAATGAGTATGTCGAGTCGTGTATAAGTTAAACTCGACAGTGTCTGGCTCTAAGCCCACCTGTATCCGAGTTTAATGGGTATGTTGAGTCTCAAATAAGATAAGCCTGACAGTTTCTGATTCTAAGCCGACATATCGCTGAGTTTAATGGGTATGTACAGTCGTATATAAAATTAATTCGAAAATTGCTGACTCTTAGCTTACGTTTTGCTGAGTTTAATGGGTATGTCGATTGTTCTATAAAATAAAAGTCTATATTTCGTTCAATTTAAAGCGTATTTCCAGTCGTGTATAAGATAAACTAGACAATTGCTGACTTCATCCCACGTTTGGCTGAGTTTAAAGGGAATGCCTAGTCGTACACAAGGTTAACTCGACAATATCTGGCTCTAAAATCACGTTTCGTTGAGTTTAAAGGGTATTTCCAGTCGCATATAAGAAAGTTTCTCGCGCTAAGCCCACGTTTCGCTGAGTTTAATGGGTATGTACAGTCGTAAACTCGACAGTTTCTATACTAAATTCTATAAACATTCTTTAAGCATTTGCAGCTACAAGCACAGCATGCCCTTTGTCAAACATCTGCCAATTACAGGGTATAAACAGTCGTTGAAATGTGTGTCACAGCGCTGCAGTTGCAGTTGCAGTGGCCGCCACAGATATCAATCTGTCGATTAACCAATATTGCCGCAAACCTATCAAATTGCATAGCTCAATCCCATAACTCCCCCCCCCCCCCTCCTCCCCTCTCTCTCTCACACACACACACATACGCACACACACACCACCGCATCAGCACGCACGATCGCCCGCTGCTGGGCGTGGAAGCAAAAAAAACACGCGCATCTAACACGTTCCATTAGCCAAGCGCACGTTTCATTCCATTTCGTACCGCTCAACGAAAAAAAATAAAATAAATGCCGCCTTTTATTGTTGTGTGAGAAACTTTACTCATATTCAACTTAGCTTAACTTACGTGTGTATATATATAGATACAATATAAAAAAAAACGTACATTTTTGTTTGTATAATAATAAAAAAAAAGAGAAGAAGAAATATAGGTAATCAAAGCCAACAACAAGCTGTTTGCGTTTGTTTGTCTGTTTTGTTTACAAAGCTATGTTTGTGATGCGCGCGCCCCGCGCTCTCCCTCTCTCGCTCTTTGGCTGGCCTGGTCTATCATTTCAGCAGCGTTGCCAGATCGTTAACAGCAGCAGCAGTGGCGCTGCCACACCCCAAGCACCGCTGCTGCTCAGTTGATTGGCGCCATTGCAGCCATCCGTGTCGCAGGTGTAGATGCAGCTGCGATAATCCATGCGATCGCCCTTATTGCGCACATAGTCACAATAGTTGCCCAAATCCTTGGAGCTGCAGAAACGCTTCGCCCCGATGCCGCCCTCGAAGCGGCCCACATGCTTCACACAGAAGGTGGCGCCATGTACGCTGGAACAGTTCTGCGGCTGGATGTCCGGCTGATCGAAGCGCTCGAACCATTCGCCGCACTGGAACGGATTCTGCGTGTCGCTGGCATCGCATACGTAACACTCAATCGCCCAGCTGCAGCGCAGGCAGAAGCAGCACCAGAGCAGCGCTGCCAACAGCAGCGGCGGCAGCAGCGACGTTGACATTCTTCTTGTTTTGTTTTGTTTTGTTTTGTTGCCTTTTGCTGTATTACCTTTGGTTTCTATGTTTTTTTGCTGTTGTTGTTTTGTTGCTGTCCGATTGCACAATGCAGCTTGTGGGTGGCTGAGCGGGGGCTTAGGTGAGGTCTGCAATGACGCACTACGCACACAGACACACACACAGAGACAAACGAAGAGACGCAAAGAGACCAAAGTCGGCGTCGTCAGCAAATGCCAAGCTCGTACTGAAACGTTGTTTTAACTTCGTTTCCATTCGTTTCAGCCGCTGCTGCGAGCGGCACTGACTGCGACTGTATTCGTGTGTGTGTGTGTGTGTGTGTGTTGAGCGCTTGCTAGACCGCGCTCTTTCTCTCTCTATCTCTTGCTCACCTGCCACTGTTGTTGTTGTTGTTGTTGTAAGACTCGGCTACTCTAGCCCTAGCTGTCAGCTGTACGGCACATCCTTTTGCTGGCGCCCCCTGGCGCGCCTTTCCGCGTTTCTTTTTATCGTTTATCGAAACTTGTTGCTTGGCAACAGCTATGCAAGGCAACAGGTACGCCGTTCCGACACCGACACCGACACACACACACACACACATAGACACACGCTCGTTGGCTCCCCTTTGCAGTTCTGATTGGAATCTCATTCTCATTGGAGTTGCTATTGGAAACGTCATCGCTGGGTTCTTTGGCGACGTCAGCAAACTTCGGCGAGCGAAAGAGAGAGAGAGAGAGAGTGAGGCCCAACGAGGGCATTCAACTTCAACAAGAGACAAAAAAGCACATCACACACTCGCACAACAATACAAACAAAGCAAAAGCAGCTTTCTATACCCTATACATATCGAAAATGTCTATTCAAACAGGTTAAATGTTTCCAAGCAAATGTATGTGACAGGTAAATTTGGGCATGACGGAGCCCTTTACATTCTTGAGCTTAAGTTAATTTGAGTTTACTTCATAAATATCGATAAATTTACTTCACACATATCGATAACTGTCTGCATTTGCCGAAATCGATCAAAATCGATTTGATTAGGTCTTACATGCCATCTTAAAAAAACAGACCCCAAAAAACTAACTTAAGTTTACTCTAAAATTATCGATAAATTTACCTCACACATATCGATAACTGTCTGCATTTGCCGAAATCGATCAAAATCGATTTGATTAGGTCTTACATGCCATCTTAAAAGAACAGACTCCAAAAAACTAACTTAAGTTTACTCTAAAATTATCGATAAATGTACTTCAAACATATCGATAACTGTCTGCATTTGCCGAAATCGATCAAAATCGATTTGATTAGGTCTTTCATGCCATCTTTAAAGATCAGACCCCAAAAACTAATTTAAGTTAACTCCAATATTATCGATAAATTTACCTCTAACATATCGATAACTGCCTGTATTTGCCAAAATCGGTAAAAATCGATATGATTTGGTCTTACATGCCATCTTTAAAGATCAGACCCCAAAAAACTAATTTACGTTTACTCTAAAATTATCGATAAATGTACTTCAAACATATCGATAACTGTCTGCATTTGCCGAAATCGATCAAAATCGATTTAGTTAGTGCTACAGGGTATCAACTGTCGACTAGAGCACACTCTAGTTTCTTGTGGCAACGGGTTCTGTTGCCCACCAAAGCCAGTAAATCGGCATTGTCAACGATCTGGCCGGGTCCCATCGCCGGAGCCCACCTTCCGCACCACCCCACGCCCGCCCGCAGCGCCCCACACCCGCCGCTGCCCCTGCCACGCGGCTGGCATTAAGCAGGGCCAAGCCTTTAAAGAAAGAAAAAATACCCACACGGGCCGTAATTGAAACGATCCACAATCAACCGCCATCAGCCACAAGAGACTTCAGGTTTTCTTTTTATGGTTTATGCTTGATTTCAGCTTGGGCCGCGACTCGCATGCGGCATGCGGCATGCGGCATGCGGCATGCGGCATTTGGTTAGCCATTTCTCAATCTTAAAGAGACGACTGCAATTTAAACAAGACATTTCTGTATGTCTTTCGATTGGGAGGAGTTTGGCAGGCATGTCGCAAGATTTGCTGGAACATTCGAACTAGTCCGGTTTTGAACCGAACTGGTTCGTGCTCTGAACTCCCTTCATTTACTACAAATAACAGTCGATAGATATTTAAAAAATTAAATTCAACTATCTTTTTTTCATATGTAAAAGTAAATACACTCAAAAAAAGTCCCGCTATAAAATGAAAAAGTTTTCTAATTTCATGAAATATTCTTGATTTCTTGAAAGCGTTTCCATTAAGAAAAAAATAACCTTAAATATACATTTTTAGTATATTTTCTGAAACATTTTTCAGTTTTTGATGATTTACCAAAATGTACAAACCTATTTTTTTTTGAGTGTAAGCTCAGCTGAAATCTTTCATTGCAAGAAACCCGACAAGATTCGAAATGTAATCTGATTTTGTGATTCTAGAAAAAGAAGTACACGAACTGAACCTAAAGGCGAGGCATTGGTTCAAAACTTGCACCGAACCAGTGACTTCTCTTTATGGGTTTTGTGTTAGAATGCTTCGTTTTCTCAACTTGTTTCTCTATCACACGGAAACCAGATTCTAATTACGTATCTTGTCTTATTTGCTTGGAATTGAAAATTAAATAGTTCGGTTGAGCTTGAGGCCTTCTTTTGGAACAACTGTTCAGGTTCTAGTTCCAGTTCCAGTTCAAAACCACTTGCCAGCCTTCTTCTCTAGAGAATTTGACTATATTATTATAAAATGGGAATACTAGATATACACTAGCTATAGAAACCATAAACATAAATTTCAACAGGCTCTATATAGATGGACTGAATAAAAGAAAATCTTAATGCACTAGAAGATTAACAAATTCTGCTTCGAATTCTTGACAAGATTTTGATCATGATCAGATCAATATACACACTCTATAGAGACAAGTGTATACAATCTTCGACCATAGCAAGATAACGAATATTTCTTGTTTTATAGTCGACAATCGCTTCTAACCCAACCGAACATGCCTTTTCCATAGCTCATATTTCAACTCAAGTATCCATTAGGGAAATATTGTCGTCATTTTAATGATGCATGTTTTCAGTTCATCAGAGACAAGTCCAAGCACTCGAGTCCGTGTACGGACTATCAACTGATCTTTCAGCACTTAAAAGATCTGCCTCCGATTGGCGGAGTACATAAAATACTTGTTGATTACAATTTACTCTGCACATAAGACAAAAGTTTTCTAAAGGGAAAAGAAAGACAAAATAATAATACAAGAGTCCTCAAATAGAAACAGTTTTAAATATATAGACAGACTGATTGATTGATTGACTGACTGACTGACTGATTAACTAAATAGAAATAGGCGTAGGAGCTGGGCAGCTGCATTTAGTTTTAAATAGTTATCATGTTATTTATATATTTTTGAATGATTGCGATAAGTGGGAACTGGGTAAGAAAATTGCTGTCGCAATTTAGATTAAAAATAGGATGGACCGGGCAAGGACGGGTAATAGCGTGTACTAGCGTAGAATATATATACATGCAAATAGTATATAATGTAAATGGAACATAATTAACTAGGATAGAAGGAGGTAAACATATGAGATTAAATAGTACATCGTTAATATAGAACACGATTAACCAGGACCTGGCAAAGCCGGGTAATGCCCACTATTACACATGGGAATCTATGGTATCTAAAGTAATTATCACAAGATTGTCTAGGATCAGGCAAGCCATTCATATGCGATTATATAGTACATATTGTAATCATCGTTAATATAGAACACACTTAACCAGGGCCAGGCAATGCCGGGTAATGCCCACTACTATATACACATGTACTTATGCGAATATATAGTACATAATGTGTTCGTCGCTTATATAGAAACCTGATCAGAGTCGTCGTCGTTATTGTCCGCAGTCTTCGCGTGTACGTGACAAACGAAACGATCTTGAAGATCGTTCCGAGGAGTTGTTCAACCTGAAAAAGATGCTGCAAGTCGAATGTTAGGTACAGTGTCTGCATGCAGCACATGCAGACACACACACACACACACACACAGACACAGATATGCATATATATGCATGCATGTGTGCACATACATATGCCGCATGCAGCCCTTTAATGCATGTAGTTCCTCTCACATACGAATTGTGCACTTTGATCTACACATTTGGTGACTTTTAGCCGAGTGAATAATTAAAAAATGCGCCCAGCTCCTGATGCTGCCTGCACACACACACACACGCACATTTACAGAGCGTATGAGTGAGAGAGAGAGAGAGAGTGCAGTGTAGGGAAAGACAACAAAAAAAAGGGAAGCTGCAGTCGCGTCGCGCTGCCTGCGTCGCAGGCGGAAGCAAAGCAGCAGCATAAAAAGGAAGTTGCAACACAGGAGCGCGAGTGGGAGTTGAGTGAGAGCAGCTGAGAGAGCGAAAGAGAGAGAGAGAGCGAGGGAGCGCGCCCGAGTGAGAGAGTGAGCGAGTGCATTTGAGTCAAATGAGTGCAAATTGAGCGCAAATGCATTGAGTTGCCAGAGTGCATTTCGCTGCTTGAGTAAAAACACGACAGGCTCAATCTGAAGGAAAAAGAAATGTGGCTAGCCCGAATCAAAATGCAAGCCAAGAGACACGCACACACACACACACGTGCACACATACGTACACACTCATAAATCAATGTCACGTACTTGCGCCGTGCACCCGCGCACGTAGCACCCACATGATGGCAGTTATCGAAATGTTTATCGGTTAACGGGCAGACGTGCGACAGACAGACAAACAGGCAGAGTGAAAGGCAACGAGAGGCCCGGAATGTAACAGATAAATACATACATATGCACATATATGGGCAAGCCGGGCTCAAGATCGGGGCTCGGGGCACGCACTTCAATTATTTCAGCTTTACGAAAGTGGCGCAGTTTATTGTGCGACCATAAAAAGGCCAAGACCAGCAAGGCGTTCAAGAAGAAGAAGAAAAAGAAGCTGAAAAGACAAGACAACAAACCACAAAAAACCAAAAAAAAACAAAAAAAACATGTCGGTAGTGCTCGACTAGGAGATTGCCTGTAAGCCGTCTCGACAGACTATATATACTTTAGTTTAGACTAAAAATGAAAACGGTTTTGAAAACGATATTTATCGATTAAATATGAGCTAAGCTTATTATATCATAAAGAAATTAAAAAGGCTAAAAATCGATAAATATCGATTCGGGAGAAAGTCTTTAGCTTAAAAAGGCTCTTTAATATCCTTAAGATATTGCGTAGGAGACCGATATTTTTTGTTTTGTGCTCTCAAACTCCGAGATATGCGTAAAAAGCATACAAATTCAAGTTGGCAATCGATATTTATCGGTTTGGAGTGGAAGCAGAGGTGTTCATCAGAAAAAGGAAATGTATTTGATTCATTTAATGCTGGGATAAGAACTTACATACACAATTTGGTGTCCCTAGACTCTGTAACCTCCGAAATGTCCGCAAAAGACCAGGGCAGGAAATCGATATATATCGATTTGCATAGAAGGGGCTAAGCTCTCAATCTCAATGTGGAACTCAAAGAACAAATTGTGTGCAGCTGACACTTATCGACTCCTATATGGAGCCTTCGAATATGATATATATATACATATATCTGTGAAAAACATATCCCTTTTTACGCATTTCCTACGTGTACAGGGTATACGACAAGAAGTACACGCGCCCGCTGCATGATACGACCACATATGGGGCAAAGGTACGGCGGCTTTTGGGGTGGGGATGATTGGAGGGCTGGGCCATGCCTTGAGGTACCAACGACGACGGCAAACCCTATAAATTACGTTGCACACGCGCAACACTCTGGGCCCATAAATGTGGTTAAAATGCGAACTGCAACTGCGGTGGCTACCCTAACATAACTGTAATCCGAGCGCAGCAATATGGAATGACCGATGAGTCGAACCTTCATGTCATTCCCCGGATAGCACGAGGTAAGCCCGCTGATAGTGTCAGTTGGGGCACAAATAATGGTACATCATGTCACGTAGCCGGGCTATGATCAACTAGCTCCACTTACAGTATTGGCAAACGTCACGAAAATACATCAAAATAAACTAAATGCGTCAAGGGGTGGAAAATAAATTAAATATACATTTAATATTACATTATCTTTAAATTTGTGAAGGCATACATATTTACACTTCTGTAAGAAACTTGAAAGAAAGTGTTGAAAGCATATTATTTGTAATGTTAGCTTGGTACCTTTACAACACTGCAATATCAGGGTTGCTTTGTAGATGGTCGTAAACGTAAATTATATAAGGAAATATATTGCAAGCTTTGGAACTGCAAAGAACTCTGGCTTGAAACTTTGCTCAACTTGCCTAAAAAAAACATTGAAACCAAAAAGAAATTAAATAAAATCTCGCCTAAATTGGAATTGATGTCATCTATAGACCATATATTAAGTCAATATACCCAACGAAATCCTAGGCAACGCTTAAGCCGAACTAATTATAATTTATAGAGCATTCCAAAGTCAACAAGCTTTCAGTTCAACCCCCCCCCTCAACACCACACACACACACACATAGAGCACACATGAAAAAAGTCGAAAAATTAAATTCAACACCATTTAAATTACCAGTTTTTCTTCTTGCCGCAGTTTTTATAACACAACAAAAACAAAAACAAGCTAAAATAAAAACTGAAAAAAAAAACTTGAAAACAATATATGTATGTATGTACGAAAAATAAGAAAAAGAAATAAAAAACTTACCTTTCAAAATGTGACCGTATTGGCGTGACTTTAAATTGAAGACAGGAAAGCGAGGAAAAGGCAAACGCAACAACAAGAGAACATCGTGAAATTCGAAACATTAACAAAATGTACAAAAAATATACACATGCATACATATATGCATATATATGTACATACATATATATGCAGTATGTATGTGTGTACATAGCTCTGCCCGTAAACCGCAGATCCCCGCTGTCCAAAACCGCAGTCAAGCACAAAAAGAAGTCAAGTAATCAAAAAAAAAAGGAGAAGAAGAAGCAGTACAAAAAATTGTAACCAAGCTGAGGTAAAAGAGCGCAGCTCAAACGAAATACGCGGCTCAAGAGCGCATTGGAGCTGTGCTTAAGAAGCGCTCCAGTGTGTAGTTGTGTGCGTGTGTGAGTGCGTTCAGTCACAATAGCTGCTCCAGTTTGTTTATTGAGTGCGCGCACGGTTTAAAGCAAAGCTTAGTTCGTTTAAATTAAACAAAACACACGCAGAGTAGCAAGTACAAGAATATGACAGCAAGTTAGCGTGAGCGCGAATGCGTGAGCGCATAACGCACTCAAAGAGCGGGCGCAATAACATTAGCACACACACACACATACACATGCGAAACGGCCAAGACGCGCACGCACACTGTGTGCATAAGGGATAGACGGTGAGCAAGAGAGAGCGAGCGAGAGAGAGTGGGCGCGCGCGCGAGCGAGAGCGGCTTGAAGCTGAGTTGATTTGCGGTCCAAAACAACAGTTGAGCAGTTCAGTTTTGAGCGCAACAGCGAACGTGGCGCGCGCGTGTGAGATTTTTTAACAGCAACAACGAAAACGGAACGAAACGAAACTACGAAAAGCAAGCGGCGGCAGTCGACGGCGACAGCAGCGTGCGCTGGTCCCTGCTCACAACGAAAGCCATTCCGGAGCGCACAGTCCATAAGCGAGCTCAAAACAATTTCATTTTTAACTTCTGTTTTTACGTTTGCGCTGCTGCCGTTTCTTTATATTACTGTTTTATTTTGTTTTTTTTTTTGTTCTGTGGGTTTTTGATTTTTGCTCACAACATATTTTGTCATACGCATGCATAATTTTGTTGGTCACAATATTAATTGCTGGGCGATTGAGCAACACAGTTAGAACGCGCTTGTTTTTGGTTTCTTTGATTTTGGGTTTCAGTTGCGCGTGTTCGGCTGCAGCGACTGCAACGGCGACGCGCGCGATTTACGCAGCGGCAACAACAACAACGACAAGAAACAACGTGCAAACAATTTTTAAAATCAAATAAAATATTATTTAAAAACAACTTAAACAAAAACAAAACGGCGCGCAGCAGCCCTTGCTACAAAAACCTTTCAAGAGAACCTGTTCTGCTGTCTCTGTGTGTGAGTGTGAGTGTGTGTGTGTGTATGCTGCTTATGCAAATTCTATAAGCGCAGCAACAACAACACTCGCACACCTGGCAGCTGATTTTGCAGCGCAACGAAGCAACAACAACAACACACACAATGAAAGTTCAGCTGCTGCTGCTGTGACACGAACAACAACAACAAACAACAGTAAAAGAGACCAACGCAAGGGATTTCGGTTATTCGCGTAAGTCACAATTCTGCCTCTTCCCATTAACAGTCTGTAATTGGCTGAGTGTGTGTGTGTGTGTGTGTTTTGTGTGTCTCTGTGTGAGAGTGAGTGTGCGAGAGCGCGCCGAGGTTAAACTTGATAAGCCCTAGTCAAAGCACAGATTAACAGTTCTAATTAGCTGTCAAAGCTGTTATGCAAAACACTTAACAGTGCCAATTGGATTCTGTGCAGAGTTAATATCAAATTGATATTACCTAAGATAAGCTTTTAACATTGTTCAGTTTTACAGAGCTTCATTTGATTAAATATATTTTTTAGTTTTAGTATGCTTAATATTAAATAAAATATATCTTTTAATAAACAATATTTTAAAATAAAACTTAGAAAATGTATTTAAGAGTTAAATTAAATTAGGTACTAATATTTTAGTCAAATCAAGAACTAATACGTTATAAGGCTAGATTAAAATAATTATTTAAAATATTTTTTACCATAATATATCTTTATCATTAATATTTAAAAAATATATATATTTAAATATTTAAAAATTAAATAGTTAAAAAATAATGAAATATTAAATTAAATTAGATAATGATATTTGGCATTAGATTTAATTTATTTTTTAGACAAGTAAAGAATTAATACGCTATTAGACCATATTTAATTATTCAATTTATGTATATAAAAGCATATGAGTTGTTTTTTTTTTAATTTTATTTTGTTTTTCACGAAATCAATTCTTTTACAATATATTCCCCTTGAGCTTATTTTAAAACTATAATAGGCCAGATTATATTAAATTTATTTACATTTTGTTATATTTTGAACGTAACGATTTCTTTTACAAAATAGAGATTGATTATATATTTATTTAAATTTTATTATGTTTTAAATGTAACGAATTCTTGTGAAATTCCCCTTCAGTCTTTTTTTTGTAATATGCGTGTTTTTATTTAATTTATTTACATTTTATTAAGTTTTTAACGAATCGAGTTCTTTGACAATTTATTTCCCTTTATGCATTAATCTTTATATACATTTATCTTGCATCTTCCAACCAATTAGTCAACCCCTTCATTATGGGAAACTTCCATCTTTTTTCAGCCTCCAACTTTTCCACATCTTCTGTTTTTTGTTTTTTGTTTTTCATTCTCTTCGGAGTTTTTAATGCTGCTTCTTAATAACTCATGATCAAAGCGCTTCCCCAACTCCCAAAGCACCCGATCTCCAGCAGCTGCCTCGCCTTCTCCCTCTCTCTCCCTCCCTCTCTCGCTCTCGCTCTCCCCCTCCCTCTTTCGGTCTCCCTTTCGCTGTGACAATGGGCGGCATTTTGAGCATCTGTAGTTGCTCTGTCTCAAAGATGTTTCTCATTTCTGCCGCTTCTACTTGTCTGACACCCCTCCTCCCCCTTCCCCTCCACCTCTGCCACTGCCCCTGCCCCTGCTCCCTTTACTCCCTCCGCGCGGCAACGGAAATGGTCAATTGAAACCGCACAGAGGCAATGCATTGTTTCGGGTCTGGGTCTACGGTTCGAGTTCGAATTGTCCCGGTCTCTGAGCTGCTCCCTACTAGTTTTTTTTTTTTCACTGTCTGATTCTCTGCACGCCACTTGCGGTTTTTACGGACCAAGAACGCAATAAAACGTGTGAGAGAGAGAGAGAGGGAGGGAGGGCGGTTCTACAAGTACTTGGGAAAGCAATTAAGCCGAGCTCAAGTCCAGGTACTTCAATTATTTAACGTGTGTTGAAGATCTTAAGAACTGATTCTAATAATTCAAACTCAAGAAATTTCCATTTTTAAGGGCTTAGCTTCTGTAGAAGACAAAGATTCACAGTTTTATTAGACAGAAAAATCTTAAGTTCTTCAGTTATGCATAACTTAAGGTTTCGAAAGAACGCGAAAGCTTAGTTTTATTAATATAAAGCTCAATCGAAGCTTTGCTGTAGCCCAAAAGCTTAGCTAGAAAAATCTGAGTTAAGATGAGAAAAAAGTTCATATAGGACAGCTTAAATATGATCAAAATAACTTCACTTAAAACAAATTAAAATTGATGTAACTAAAGATTAACCTTAAGAATAAAGCTTTGATAGGATCCAAAGCTTACCTACAAATTTAAAGTTGATTGAACTTAAAGAAAATCGTATGCAGATAGGTTAAGCTTAACTAAGCTTGAGTATAACAAAGCTTTGAGAGAACTCAAAGCAACAATAACAAAATAACTCAGCTTTAAGAGAGCTTTAACTAAGCTTGAGCATAATAAAGCGTCAAGAGAACTTAAAATCAGCCCAATTTGGGCTTAAAGCCAAAATCTTTTAAACATGTCTAACTAAAGCTTGGCCAATAATAAAGCTTTAACTTAAAGCTCAAGCTTTATATAAAACTAAAACTTTAAGCAAAAACTTATATAGAATACGTGAAATCTTAGACTTTAAGAACAAATTTAGTTCTGTTCTGGTCCTCCAAAGCTTCACAAGATAAAAAGAAGGCTTGGCCAGGCGCAGATATAAATGAAATTCAATCAAAAAGCTCTGATTAGAAAAAGCTCGTCTAAGAAGAATAAAAATAAAAAAATAAAAAAACAAAGAAGAAACAAAAATAAAGTCAAATAATGTTGCAAGAGTAAATGTTGATGAGATATGTTTCGAGCTACCCTCGACTTTTCTAATTGAAGTTGATGCCAGCTGCCAGCGGCAGAGTCATAGAAGGGAGCCCAACAAAACGAGAGAGAGGGCGATAGAACGAGGGATGCAGAGTGAAAGAGAGAGATAGAGAGAGAGATGTGTATGAGTAAAGCCAGTGAGAGGGGAGGAAACACTTCCGCTTGGCCAGCTGCTTACCAACAAAACGAGAACAAAATGCAACCAGCTAACGAAACAATGCAATTAAATGCAAATGAATTTGCTTTTAAAACTTGTGACGTCACTAGCAAAGCCAATTAGAAGAAACAAAAATGACTAACTAACTGAGTCTGTTTAGCCGATCGTCGCTGAGTCTAACTCTGACTGTATTCATGTTAAGGTTAAACGTGTAAAAAGGCACTCAACATTCTAATTGCACAGCAACAAACAAAGTCACCAAAAGCGATGCAAATCGTGTTAGAAATCGGTAAACTCCAGCGAGCACGACTACCAAATGCCCTGTAAAGTTAGCCTTAACTATACGAAGTACCTTTGCTTCTTAGTTGGGGCATGAAAACAACTTGTTAAATCAAAATATTGCTTTACATTTTCATTACAATATATTAAAATTAATTACAAGTCTTCTTCGGCAAAGTTAAAGCCGAAATTCTCCATCTCAATATAGTTTTGTCTATCTAAGGTTCAGGCAGAACTTCATAACAAATTTCAACCTGCTAGCTCTTGCAGTCGCTGAGTTCCTTGAGGTCACATAGCTGATACATTATGTGGGCAAGTTTTATTTATTGTTTCGCTTTTCTAGATTTAATATGGTCTCTAGTCTTTAAAGCCACTCGCAAGTACGCATACAACAAATTTCATCACGCTAGCTCTTTGTATAGGAAACTTCTAGAAGAGCGTACATACATATTAAGTTTCTATATGTACATGATTATAAAGTCTGGATAGCTATAGGCTAAATGCTTAAGGGTTTTTGTGAGTCGCATACCAATTTTCAGCGCTCTAGCTCTTATAGTTCCCGAGTTCCATGAGGTAGGTGGATCGTTTAGATGGATAGTTAGCTGAAGCTTTCAACCAATTGTTGTTACAGCTCAACCATTAATATAGGCTTAATGCTTAAGGCTTGTGTGAGTCACATACCAATTTTCAGTGCTCTAGCTCTTATAGTTCCCGAGTTCCATGAGGTCGTATAAATACAATGTATCGATGGATAGTAAGCTAAAAACTCTAATCATTTATGCAGCCAAACAACACTTGTTGCAGCTCGATATACGCCTATACGATTCATAGGCTGAAATTGCCCAACTGTTACATAGCACCTGTCCAGGTCGTGCATACCCTATACACGCATTTACAGGGCATCAAAACGAATAAACATTTTTTTCTGTCCAAGCACGTAAAATGCATTTAATACGTACGCTTAGCATTGGCGACCTTTGCAATGTGACACCTGCATTTGTGTTAGTCAAAGTCCCCTCTCCATCCCGCTCCCGCTCCCCCTCCCAACCTTAACCCCCCCCCCCCCTGGCCACCGCTCTAATCCACTTGAAAAGCCGCTCAAAAATGTGCATAGAAATTGAAATTTTTCGCACATAACTTTTGCCCATTGTCCATGGCCTTGGCAATGAAAAAACTGTGGAAGAAACAACAAACAACAACAACAAAAACGCCCCAACGAGTGGGGCAATGGGGCGGGCGGCTGTGTGTGGGTGGTTGGGGGAGTAGGGGAAATAGGGGGGAGGGGGGGGGGCAGTGTGGCGGTCATTGTTTGGCTGCCTGTTGCTGTTGTTGCGGTTAATTGTTGCGGCTGCAGTTGCAGTTGCAGTTGCCTTGTCGTGGCCAGCGAAGCGTGTGGAATAAACAGGAAAACATTGGATCAAACGCTGGCAGGGGGCAACTGAAGGGGAGCGCGGGGGAGGGGGGTGGGGTGAAGGGGGGGGGGGCACGTGGTGTGTGCGTTGAGTAGCGGCTGACGCAGCGGGATGTCGGCAGAGTTAGTTGTCTATAATAAAACTACCTGTGCCCCGCGATCATATCTCGTAAACTTTAGATACATATATAAACTAACTAACTTTAGATAAAGTATAACTAGAGTGAGCGCAAAATTTCGGATTGGATTCGAAGCCACGTGAAGAAAAAATATTTTATTCCACTTATAATTGGAAGATATTTTAGAAGAAAGACACACAATATAGGAGAGTTTAAGATTATATAGATCAATATATGCTTGGAGGGGCAGCTATTGGGTCTTCGTACATTCATATCTGATTGTGGTGTGATTAACGCAAACTAAAAACGTTTGAGCCGAGCGACGCCGGGTAATTTCTACTAGTCTAAAATAAAGCATCTTTAATTATATATTATATATTCTTCATTTTCTTCATAACAACTTTATTATTGAGCGTTACGTGACGCCAGTTAGTTATTTAATCAAAGATTAGGTCTGTATCAATTAGTATTAAATCAATTAGTCCGTAAATCGTTTTCTCTTTACAATTGAATTCCTACATTAAATTAAATTCATACTCAAATAAAGATTTATGGATATAAGAAAACACATTCCGTGTGTTAACTATGTAATTTAAAGGAGAGCTTTTCACTAAATAAAATTGTTTAAATTGTTCTCACCTGCATTTGCTCTCGCAAGAGAGAGCGCTTGTTATTTTCCAATTCTGCTTTGTGTGACATTCTTAAACGTTGCTCTGATTCAAATTGACACCATTGATTAAACGTTTTTGTATAACATTGTTAAGTTTGCTAATTGAATTAGTTTATACAAAATGATCTAAATTGAAATTGAAAGAATCTAAAGCAGTGAAATATTACTCCAAATTCAGTTGAGCGGGTCGCGGCTTGATATTAAGGCAGGCATTAAAGAGTACTTGCTGTTGAAAAGTCTCTTTCTTTAAAGCTCAAGTGCAATTAAATAATTATTTATCCGACATTACCTCAGAGGCATGAATTGACAAGCTTTTGAATTTATTTCCACTCTTTTTAACTGAATGTTAAAACTGTATACAATTGTCTACCTGAAAACTCTCTGAAGAAAGGTTGAATCAATACAAAATTCCCATTTAACATCAAGCTCAGCATATTTGACTTATAATCTAACCACCAGTCAAGTAGTTAACAGGTAGAACGACTGAGCATAAGATGAAGTGACATTGAGTTTGACTGCATGTTAAAGTAGTTTAACTGTGACATGATATGACGATAGATAATTTAACAAACTGGTAAATTTAGGTAGGAAAAATTACCCAAGACAGCATATATAATGTAAGCTTAACAGCTATAATCAAACGGGATGCTGTTATTAACATTTTTGTATAACAGCAATAACAGCACCTTTTGGCAATTATGTTAGTTTTAACAGCTCATCCCAGTTAATGCAAATATGTACTGTTATCACTTTTGCTAATGAAATTTCAGCAGAGTTGCGATCAACAGCGTCTTCAAGCAGTTAGGTTAAGTTTACAGTTCTAGGCAAATAAATGACATGCTGTTATTAACATTTATGCTTATCATATTTAACAGAGCTGCCAATAACAGCACCTTTCAAGTCTGTTAACTCAAAAGTGTTAAACTTTAAACATATATAACATTTTTGCATAAACTAAAATCATATTTGAATGCAGTCAAGCGCAACAGCTATGCCCGATCGATGACAGTAGAAATAAGCAAGAAGCTGGCAGTCGAGTGTAAGTGAAGCAGAGCCTACCTTAATTTGGGGCTAAGGGGCGTGGCCAAAATGTTATTTGGCTAGATTTTTGGTAAAGCGCAACAAATTTGTGGAAACTTCCCTTATGATGGCGTAAGATCAAGATCTCGAGCGACAGACAGACAGATAGACCGACGAAGAACTGACCATAACCAATATGCCATCTTTCAACCTGCGTACAGGGTATAAAACGTATAAGCTAAACAACTGATTGGTACGTGAATGGGCGCTTAAGTGGCGCTCGGGTCAAGCGTGTAAAGATCGTTGCCATCACGAGTGCATTCAACTCGGAGCGGGTAGAGAGAGAGAGAGAGAGAGAGAGGAAGGGGTGGGGGGGCTTCATAGGGTTTGGTGGCAAGTGGCTCAAATGCCAATTGGATATTTAAATGATGTCGCATCAATTTCTCTCAGTGCAGCGCATTTGCTTTTAATTGAAATTGAAGCTGTCTGCAGATTCTATTAGTTGATTTATGTTCTTGCTCAATCACACACACACACGCACACACACGCACACACACTGCCACACACCCGTCAGGCCACAGCCCCTCCCCACCCACGTTTGTAGAAAAGCAAAGGGTACTTCGCCTCGAGTCGCGTGTTTGTCTTCAGATAGCGTGAGGCAAACAACGTTCGACAGAACAATAAATTTACATTTTTCGGCCGACTTCAATCAGACCCTCGACACGTTTTCCAATCAAGCAAATGTACCGATCCCCCAGATACTCGCACACACAGATACTCGCAGATACCTTAGATACAGTTACACACAGGTTATCTAAACATTCCAGTTGCCAGCATTGTGTGCTTTCCACGACCTTGTTGCGGGCTCTTGGCATCGCAGGAATTCTGGAACACGCTGACATTTGGGCTGTTATTTTTGGGGGACGTTTTGCAGCTCCCAAAATATCTACTCAAGTATCTGGGCATAAAAATCGGAATTTTTAAGATTTATCTTGGGCGATAATCATCTGGAGTAATTCTTTATATACAATATTTATCATTTATTATATCATATGCTCTTGATCAGAATGATAAGCTGCGACGTCCCAAGCTTGGCTGCTTCCTTCTGCCTGTTACATACACTAGCTCATAACCAATATACACTTTTCAGCCATTTTCAATGGGTTCAGGGTATAAAAAGAAATTAAATTTGATTATATAGAATATTTGATTGATATAGAATTATAACATGATATGGAATGAATTATGATATGATATGAAATGATTGTATTAAAAAGCAGACGAGTGTTGGAAAGGCCTTTATAGTTAACTACAACTATCGGCACTGCTTTATAAACAGACTTGACTTGGGATTCAAATAGTATTAAAATAACAGTATCTTCTAGTACGCATTCTCATTGTCTACTTTCCAGATACTTAGATTCCAAGTCAAGTTTATTTTGCAACACTTTCTTTCTTCTTCTCCAAAGACAAAAGCCTTCTCAACTCTACATTTTGCAAACGTTGCCAGACTAATTATAAAATATATTTTACCATTTTTTGCATTTCTTTGCAGTTCGATATTGATATGCATCGTTTGCGCTGTCTGATTAACAACAACAAGAAGTACAACAATAATCGAAAGTCGATAGAACACGAGCCGTAAATTGCACGGAAACTCAACTGACATTTTGCAACACTGCCCTGCAGTTAGCAGCAATTTTCTTTTTTGAAATACTCACCTCAGCCGAACTCTTGAGCTCTTTGACCAGAAACTGATTCAATTGTGCCAAGATGTATAAGCTTTTGGGTAGCCTGAAGAGCTACCTCAAGTGGCAGGACATACAGACGGATAACGCGGTCTTCCGTCTGCACAACTCCTTTACAACGGTACTGCTGCTCACCTGCAGCCTGATCATCACGGCCACACAGTACGTGGGCCAGCCAATCAGCTGCATTGTGAATGGCATTCCGCCGCATGTGGTCAACACATTCTGCTGGATACACAGCACGTTCACTATGCCAGATGCGTTCAACCGACAGGTAAGTCTACACAACTCTACACAAATCTATAAATTAAGCAAATTCATAGTTTTTTTTTTAAACTTTTGCTTTTGCTTTGTTTACAAGCAGATTTGTAAACTCTACAAGGCTTAAAACTCCATGTACTAAGTGAATTGCGTATCTTAGAAACTCTACAAAGTCAATGCCAAGTCTACATGCCAAATCCGACATGTAAATATCGAAATTATTCTCCACAAAGCATTTTGTGGACTTAAGTATTTCTATTTAAAGTAAAATAACTTAAAAAGTCTACACAACTCTCCAACTCAAATGATGTGTATTTGTATAGAAGAGTGGAGAGCAGGTACTGTGTCTATATATGGTAGAGTGCAATAACTATTTAAAAAATCGCTTTAGATGCAACTTTTCAAAGTCTACACAAGTCTCCAAACACAAATGTGTCTATATTTGGTACTGATATATACAGAAAAAGTACAAAGCTACATAAAAATCAGACATATTAATAACTAAGCAATATTTTTCTATCTACACAAGTCTCCAAATATTAAAAATACAGTAAATTTACCTTTAAAAGTTGCGCAAGCTCGTTTTTAGCCGTTTTCGTAAAATTCGTGTCATTATGCATCATAAAAAGCAGTATAAAACTTAAAACTAAGTTATTCGGCAACTTTAAAAAGTCTACACTGGTCTCCAAAATCAGATTTTGTATATTTCGCGCTACATTTAGTATAAAAGAAGGTAGGGAAGATGGTAACAACCATTTAAGACTCGTTTTACAAAGTCTACAAAAGTCTCCACAAGTCTCCAAACTCAAAAAAAAAAAAACAGTAAATTCGCCATTTAAGTCGCGCAAACTCATTTATAGCACGCTCAAGGCACAGTCTCCCAGCATTTGTTTGGCCTCTTCTGCTTCGTTGGCGAACAATTCCAAAGCTTTCCAAGCTTGGAGCGCTGCTCGTCTTGCCCATACGCTTGTGTACGCCGATCACGTCCAGCGTTGTCTCATTTGTATGATATGTAATACATGCTGTAGGCCCCTATATGGAGACTCGCATAAATATGTGCATATTTATGCTGCGGCTATAAAGCAATTATAAACTGGGCGTTGTCGGCGGCCCGATTTAAATTGCGCTCCGTGTGACCCAAAAACCAACCAAAAAAATACACAAAATAAAAAGCGGGGGGCCAAAAAAGAAAAAAAAATGAAACCGATTAACAACGACACAAAAAATTGAATACCCCGCGGGAGCGCAGACGCGACAGGCTTTTGCGTATAGTTATCTCATATTTCAACAGGGGCAGGAAGTGCCCGACGCAGCGTTTCTGATTTCGTGGAACCTTCAGCGCAGTCCGACAGGCTGTCAATATCCCTATGTAGGGTACATTAAGTTTATCAAGCGATTTGCCAGAGTGAAAGGCAGGAGAAAATAGAACCTAAAAGAAGCCATTAGGCATATCTAAATTCTAATTGAGTTTATCTTAATGGGAAATATATATGAGAGATCGGAATAGCTAACAAATATAATACTAACTTTAAAAGAAGCGTGCAATTTGTTTGTAAATATAATTTGTAACAAATAGAATATTTCTTAAGAAAAAAGTTATTCTCTTTGTTTTCTTTGAGTGAGGGAATCATATATAGAATTATATCATATCAAATAATAGGGGATCATAAGGATTTCTTAAAGTTGTATTTTTGCAGGATCTGCTTGACTAAGCGTAGTTTAAGGTTTGTCCTTTTTGTAAAGCTTGGATTGGAGTTAGGATTTTCTATACTCAATGGTTCTTAACTTAGAATGAATATAAAATATATATTAACATATATTTGTGATCAGCGTTATATAATATATTTCTTATCCTTGAAGAAACTAATTTCCATTTCATCATTGTAAGAAGATGAGCAAATCAAGCTCCTTTTTTTTGGTAATTACTTCTAGGGTTCGTTTCATTTTTTTTAGGCAATTCCAGTAGTTGAGGTTAGGAATTTTGGGTTTCGAACCGGCGCGTTTTATTGTAATATAAGAAATCTCGATAAATTTTTGTTTATCAACAACAACTTTTGTTTTGTATTCCAATAATAATCTAATAATATTATAATAATAATTTAATAATAATCTTAAAATAATCGGATTCTAATCATAATCTAATACAAAAAATTATATTAAATATAAAACATATATGTATATTTTTATTGGATTCCTCTAAAGTAAATACCACATACTCTCTGCTAAACCCTTCTGAAAAATTCCATTTCATATTTATTCGCAGGTCGGTCGCGAGGTGGCACATCCTGGCGTTGCCAATGATTTCAATGACAAGGATGCCAGAAAGTACTACACCTACTATCAATGGGTGTGCTTTGTGCTCTTCTTTCAGGTAAGCTAACAGCACTTTTTCTTCTTCTATTTCTTTTTATACTACCTACTTCCCACCCCCTTTGCCACTTGTGCATCTCTTTTCCCCCGCGCCGCCAAACTTAATGTTAATAATGTTGGAGATCTCACGATTTGCTTACGACTCTTTTCGTTCTCGTGCTCTCAATTGCGGCGCAGATGCCAACGCATATAACACACACTCACACGCACACACACACACGCACACACACACTTGCACACATATATACGCACAGCAAGCTGTACTTCAATGAAGCTTAATTGAATGCGTGCGTGTTGTCGCTGCAAAAGGGATGTAAAGCGTGTGTGTTTGTGTGTATAGGTGTGCGTGTGTGTGTCAATGTTTGTGTGTGTGTGTGTGCGGGGGTTGAGGGGGTTGGGGCTGCGTAGCTATCGGCTGCTTTCAGGGGAGGGGTCATTGTATTGCCAAGCGCGCTCAATCAAGCATGATTGCGCGCCTGTTGCGCAACAAGCACACAAACAGCGACAGTTGCTAAACACTAAAACACTAAAGACAACAACAACAACAACAATCACTTGTGAAATGCCAGATAGTGTATTCATATAGATTAATGACTTGCTAAATGCTAAAAAAAAAAAAATAAGCAACAATAAAACGCATCTGAGCCGTTCAACGGCTTGAAAAAAAGCTACAAATCTCTCACAAATTCCAAATCCAAAAGTCAAATTTCAAGTGAAGTTTATGTTTTTTTGTGCTTGTTTCTTTTTTTTGTTTGATTAAATCGCAGCTGTTGACAGCTGACACGCGCAGCTGATGAGCTCTTCACTCAGCTTTGCCTTTTGGTCATTAACAATTTGCCAACTAAGTAGAGCTAGCTTCTACAGTAAAATCTGACTAAAACGGACAACAAGTGCCTAGCTAGCTACTTTGTGAAAGCTTTCAGCACAAGCTTCAGCAGCTTTTTTAAGCAATTGAAAGCTCTTGACTTCGACTGATTCCCATTTGAAACATTCTTAGAGTCATGCTACTTCTGCTTGTACAGTAAAATCTGCCTAAAATTGAAAACAACTGCCTTTACCTACTTTTTGAAAATTTTTTTTTTTTGTTTTTTGCATAAAACGGGCTTCAGCAGCTTTTGTAAGCACTTAAAAGCTCTTGACTTCGACTGATATCCATTTTTTACTCGCTCAGTACGCTTCTACAGTAAAATCTACCCGAACTATTTGCAACTCTGCTAGCGCTTAGAGCGCTATTTACTGCCTCTTTTTGCAATTCCTTTTAGTGCAGCATTCTTAAACGTTTAACTGACTTTACATGATCACGAATTCCCTTCCCCGTATATGTATATAAAAATGTTCCCCTCTAATATATTTGCTAATTGAATTATTTTAATTGTATTATTTATAGGCCATGGCCTGCTATACGCCCAAGTTTCTGTGGAACAAATTCGAGGGCGGGCTGATGCGCATGATTGTCATGGGATTGAACATCACGATCTGCACGCGCGAGGAGAAGGAGGCCAAACGCGATGCCCTGCTCGACTATCTCATCAAGCATGTGAAGGTGAGTTGGCATCTTAAGAGCCCGAACATTATCTGAATCCAAACTGATTCCCCAATTGCATTTACAGCGCCATAAACTGTATGCCATACGCTATTGGGCCTGCGAGGTGCTCTGCTTTATCAATATCGTGGTGCAGATGTATCTGATGAATCGTTTCTTTGACGGCGAGTTCATATCGTACGGCACGAACATTATGGGGCTGTCGGATGTGCCGCAGGAGCAGCGCATGGATCCGATGGTTTATGTATTTCCCCGTGTCACCAAATGCATTTTCCACAAATACGGAGCCGGCGGTTCATTGCAGACGCACGACTCTCTCTGCATTCTGCCGCTCAACATTGTGAACGAGAAAACCTATGTGTTCATTTGGTTCTGGTACTGGATATTGCTCGTACTGCTCGTTGGACTGATGATATTCCGGTAAATAAGGCATATTTTAGGGCACGTGCCTGCTAGCTCCTGCTGTTAGCGCTCATGTTATTTGACAGCCGATTGAGTTGTTTTACGTTTTCATGTTAACTGCTTAACGTAAGCTTATTGTAATCGTCTGGCAACACTGTGTCGTTAAGTTTACAGAAGTGCTGCAAATGTTAACTTAACAGCGTACTGTTAAGCGCTTGCAGCTGTCCAACAGTCCGCATTGTACTGTTATCGATGATCTTGCCTTGCCAAGTGGCAACACTCAACATTCTAGCTTCCAGTTAAGTAGTTAACAAGTTCTCAAACTGCCTTGTATGTTGAACACAAGCCTCAGGCTCATTTGAAGATGGATAAATGAAAACTAGCTTTAGCAGGAACTCGAAATAAAAAAAACCTGACCCATTGATCGATTGCGAATTTTCTAATAATAATAATTAATTACTTGCAGCGCCTGCATCATCTTCATGCCCAAGTTCCGGCCGCGTCTGCTGAATGCGCGCAATCGCATGATACCCATGGAAATCTGTCGTTCGCTGTCCCGCAAACTGGACATCGGTGACTGGTGGCTCATCTATATGCTTGGCCGCAATCTGGATCCGGTCATTTACAAGGATGTGATGGGCGAGTTTGCCAAACAGGTGGAGCCCGCGAAGCACGATCGCACCAAGTGATTGTCAAAAAGGGCTAAGCACAAGAAAGAGACAACGAGCGAGAGAGAGAGAGAGAGAGAGAGAGATACAACTGCTCTGGATTATATTCATAATTATTATTATTATTATTTAGCACAAATCATGACAATTAGTTGAAAACCACACACCGAATGCAAAAAGAAAATGACAATCTTTAGCAATAGCTCTACTACCGCTTACCTTCCCGATACCCCCCGCCCAAAACTCTTAATCAATGATCACAACTCGAATCATTTCAAATCGCAAGGCAGCTTAAAAACAGAGAAGAAAATTGTTGAAATATTTTTGAAGAAATATTTTTTCAGTTTTTTCAGTTTTTTTTTTTGATATTTTTTTTTATTGATTTTCTTTGACAAAACGAAGCAAAAATATTTTTTTATTTTTTTTCATACTATTAAATTTAATTTAATATTTAGCATGTATTTATGTAGATCTAAAGAAAAACAGAAAGAAAAACGAGTTACGGCCCAAGAAATTCTAAAAAATATATATATACAACAATATATATATATATATATAGGCATATATAATTATATATATATTTGATTCTTATGAAATTAAGAGCAACTTGCAACTGCCAAGCAAAAACCAACAACAACAACAACAACAACAAACAACAACAACAATAGCAACGCTTCAGAACATAATACCAGAAATATTATAATAAATATATAAATATTGCTTTTGAGTCTTTCATAATAGATCACATGATCATAAATCCTTATAAATCATAAACTATGAAGCGTATTGCTGGCACATTTACATTTGAAGCTGTTTCAAATCGAACGCAGAAGAGATAACTAAATGTTAAGTTTATTGTGTAGTTTTAGGCGAAAATTGCAAGTTTTTTTATAAAAGTGAAATATATGCATAATACGTATGAAATAAACTCTATATAACTGGCGAAAATCAAGTTGTTTTTTTAAATATTCAGATAACCCTACTACAAAGATTCAGTTAAAACAAGAGTCTATTTAAATTATGTTTCAAATCTGTTTCGCATAAGAATTTCAAAATACCTTCAAAAACTCAGGGTTTGATTCCTAAAAGCTGTTAAGCGCTGAAATATGTCGGGGCAAATGTTTAACAACTAAAATTTTTAACTACTAAAGTATTAATACCAGCTTAATAAAGTACTTTGATAAGATTATTTTTCTTAGAAAACTTAAAACTAAATTCCTCTACAGTTATCGAAATGCATTTTTTCGTTATGTGAGCAAGCTTCGTTAAGCCAATATGTGCTCACTGAACGAAACGTCGCTAGCTGAGTAACGTAAGCGCAATGAGCGCGTGGTACGTAAAATGCGCAATGTTAGCCCAAAATGAGTAACGTGAACGCAGAATGCGCAACGTAAAATCAAACTGCGTAACACATTAAACTAATGCAGCAATTTGTTGCAAAACTCAATTAAAAACCTAAAACGAATTAGAATAAGTGATAAAAATGTGATGTCAAGTGTAAGTGCAAGTGCGTCTGTCTAAACAAACCAAAAATAATGCAAAAATAAAACTAAAGCGAAATCATGATTTATTAAAGTCGCGCGTGCGGGTGTATGCGTGTGTGTGTGTGAGTGCGAAGCAGTTGAAAACGCAGCAAAAATCTACTGCACAGAGCCAAAATAAACGCGCAAAAGCTACGGGCAAAAAATATAAACATGACACGAATGTATGAGAGTGGGAGTGGGGACTGGGCGCATTTATAGTTATAGCAGCCGACATACGTACATATATGTAAACATAGAGCGCCGCAATTTTGATTTCTCTTTTGTTTTTATATTGTGTTAATTTGCGCCCTTGCGTGCAAATGTGTGTTTGTGTGTGTGCGTGCATGGAATTTAGCGACGCCTGCTGGCATAAAATTCAACCCCCAATGCCCCTGCCCCTACTTTCCGGGCACAGTAAGAAGAACAACAACAACAATGGCAGCACCTCACCACCACACGCGCCAACTACCACCCCCTGGCACGAACAGCACCCCCTGACGAAAACCATGCTGAAAATTGACTCGGTCGAACGAAGGTGATGTTGTTGTTGTTGTTGGGGTGTTAAGCTAAAATAACAAGCAGCAGCGGCGCCGTAATTCAAAAACTGTCGAAATAAAACGGCTCTGCGCTCCACTTGCTGACATTCTCGACTTTCCCGCTCTTCCTCTCTCTCTCTGTCTCTCACTTTGCCCGTCTCTCTGTCCGACACTCGTGCGCATTCTATCTCTCTCGCTCTGACTCTCTTGTGACGCTTATTTTGCGGCAGCCAAAAGTTGAGCTCCAAGCGCCCTATCCTTTATAATTGTGTTCGCCCGGGTGTATTGTATGTGTGCGTGCGTGTGTGTGCAAAGGCATAAATGTAAGCCAAAAGAGCAGCAGCCAACGGAAAGGAAATTGAAAGCATAGCCAAAACACTTGATTGTTGTTGGGCAAGTCTTTTCTGCCAACTTCGTGTAGTATTTTTATGCTAAAATTTACTAAGACTTATTTTTCATTGGCTAAATAAGTTGATGCGAACATTTTAATTGTTGTTAAGACGTTTGCTGCTTAAAATTTTGCGCAAATTGAGCGCTGCGCAACACCGGCCGGCAGCCGTTTGGCAACACTGTTACTGTTGTTGCCGCTGTGTGCAACCCTGTGTGCCGCACACGAATGCGAGTGGGAAAGCGTGTGGTCGAAAATCAAGAACAGCAACAAAAACGTAAGATAGAAAACGGCTCTCTTTGTATGAGTAGCAGCAGCAGCGGTAAAACCAAAAAACGAAAAGAAAAAAACTGCTCGCGGGGGAGCAAAGCAAATTGACAGCAGTAACAGGCAGCAGGAAAGCAGCGCAGCCGCTAATCTTTGCCGTCGGTCGCGTCGCAAAATCAAATCACGCAGAGCAATAAAAAGAAAACGAAAAAAAATTTCCATACCCAAAAATAACCAAAAATTTTCAAGTTTGACGTTTTTATGGTGTGTGAAAAACGACACGGGAACAGGGCGCAAAGGAATAGGCCACAAAACTAAAAGCAAAGCTAAAGAACAAGGCGCAAGTAGAAGAAGCAGCAACAGAAATTGTAGCAGCAGCAGCAGCAGCAGTGAGCGAAAAGCGTGCAAAGGCAAAAGAAAAAAAGGTCAAAATGTGTGTGTGAGCTAGAAGAAGAATCATGGAATCAATGAAAATGGAGCAAATGTGAAAAACTTGTGGAAAAGCTAAAATTAATTTTTTGTTTTTGTTCACGCGCGCGTATTTGCCATTGTGTGCGTACGTGCGTATGTGTGTGCTGTGTGTGCTAGAGCGAGTGAGAGCGAGAAAGAGTGCGGGTGTGAGTGCGAGCGCGCAAGACAGGCAGGCAGGAAGAGGGAGCAAATGATTTTGTAAAACGCATTTACCAATTAAATACAAATACAAAATGTGAACGTGCATATATTTATATATATATAATAAGATATATATATATATGTATATTTTTAATGCTCGCGCACAAATTAGAAGCGACGACGAAACAGCTGCAAAAGCATTTGATGAACAACAATTCAAAAAGGAAATCAATAATAATAACAATAACAATAAACGCTCTTAAGTGTCCAACTCTTCTTCTTCTTCTTATAGTTGCTGTTGTTGTTGGATTGTGTGCACCGTGTTTTAATCGTAGCAGCAACAACAAATAATTGAAAGTAAAACAAAAGAGAACTATAAATAATAAAATAAAAAAAGAAAAACACGAACAAAATATTTCGGCCACAGCGGCAGCTAAATAGAAATAATAAAATAACTAAATAAAAAAAATGTGGAAAGCCAGCGAATGCGCCGCAGCAGCAGAAGCGCCACACAGCGTCGCATTCGCAGTTGCCGTCGCAGCAGCCGCCGCCAACGCGTGGAAAGCAGCAAAAAGCAACGCATGACCGAACGACGCGACGTTAAAAAGCAAGCAAAACAATTGCTTCAAACTAAAGAGTGCAACAAAAACAACAAAAAACACACAATATAATAATTATCATAACAAAAGCAACAACAACAACAACAACAACAAAGGCGTAGAATAGCCGTAGGAGTAGAAAAACAAAAGGCAGAATAAGAAGCAGCAGCAGCAGTAGCGGCAGTTTAACGTGCAATAACTACACAAAAGAACGCTAAACGCACACGAAAAACGAAATACAACTAAAGGAGAGAGCGAGAGCGAGCGCTTGCCAGTGCGAGTGAGAGAGAGAGAGAGTGTCAGCAAAACTCTCGCCTGAAAAAAAATATATAAAAAAAAACTAAAACAGAAGCCGAAAAACAGACAAAACAACAGAAGCCGAGCTTTCAGTGTTGTTGTTGTTGTTGTTGTGTTGTGTTGCCATGGCCAGCATCAGCAGCAGCAGCGCAACAAATGCAGCCAGCAGCAACGCAACAGCGCTGCCCTCACTATTTGCCGGCAGCAATAGCAGTAGCAGCAACAGCAGCAGCGCCGTCGCCAACGTCGCAGCCGCCGCCGCCGTCGCCAAAGATATGGACGGACTGATTGCCATCAATGATAGCGCATTATCGCAACAAATCGAATTTATACTACAAGATGCTCCCATGGAGCAGGATGACGAGCAACAGCTGCAGCTCAATATGGCAGCGGCAGCAGCGACGGCGGCAGCAGCCGCAGCAGCAGCAGCAGCGGCGGCGGCGGCGGCGGCAGCGTCGAAGCTCGACAACCACCCACCGACAACAAATGCAACAATAACGACAACAACAACAAACAGCGCTTCCGCATACATCAACCATAACAACAACAACAACATTAATAATAATAATATAAATAACCACAACAACAACAGCCTGAGTGTTGAGGAACATCAGCAACTGTTGCTGCAACAACATCACGCCCAACAGCAGCAACAGCAGCAGCAACATCATCTGCTGAATGGGCGACGGATCATTATTCAATCAACGGGCAGCGGCGCCACCTCTGTCCTGGCGGCCAGCGACATCAAGGAGGAGCAACAGGAGCTGGAGGACGAGCCGGAAGAGGAGGAGGAGGAGGAAGATCCGGAGCTAAACGATGAGAATCTGCAGGACATCGAAGAGGAGGCGCAGGCAGCCGAGGCTGATGAGGAGCCCGAAACGGCGACACATTTGCAACATCATCATCATCATCAGCAGCAGCAGCAGCAGCAGCAACCACAACATCATCATCAACATCATCATCACCAGCAGCAGCAGCAGCAACAACAGCAGCAACAACAACAGCAGCAGCAACAACAACAGCAACAACAACAACATCTGCAGCAACAGCAGCAGCAACACCTGCAGACGCAGGTCAAACTGGAGCTGGACGATATGCCCGACGATGAGGAGGAGGAGGAGGAGGACGAGGATGAGCATATGCAGCAGCCGGCGCAGCAGCAGCAGCAACAACTTGAGGTATATTACTTAGGCACTTAGTTCAAATTGAATAAAAACTAATTGAATGGCTTTTACTTTTTATTTACAATAATTGCTTAAGTAATTGGAATCAACTAAACTGTGTTTTTAATTACTTGAGTAATTGTGAGCAGCTTAAATCTTATAATGAAAATCCTTGTGTGTGGGAGTTATAGAAGAAGCTTCTTGTCAAAAATGATATTGTCTAAAAATGATGCTTGAGTACATTGAACGGATGAGAATAATTACTTGAGTAATTAGAATTAAGTAAACCGTGTTTTTAATTACTTGAGTAATCGTGAGCAGCTAAAATATGCCAATGAAAAATCTTGTAGGTGAAGTAATTTATTAATTAGAATTAAATCAAACGTGTGTTTAATTACTTGAGGAATTGTATAAAGCTAAATTCTTGCACTCAACATATAAGAATAACTACTTGAGTAATTGGAATTATGCAAAAATACTTGTGATTTAAGTGAATCGGCTATGAAAAGTATGAAGATCTATTTATCAACAATTCCGGAATCGAGTATATATGATATATCTAAGAAAAGCTTCTATATGCATACATTAGCCTAGCATAGGTCAGTTTATTCCAAGGAATTTCAGTTCTTTAAATAATTAAGCACTTCAAATGTATTAAGTAATCTTCTATATAGAGAAATTTGGACAGACTTTTTAGTCAACTCATCTGTTAAATTTATAAATTTGGACAGATTTTAACTCTCAGTTAAGCCTGCTTCTAAATATAGAGAGTATCTCATCTGATATATAGCCATAGACTCGTAAGCCTTGAGTAAATTATATTATTCTCTGGTAATTGATGTTATGTAGTCAATAAAAACGTTTGAACAGCTCTCCAAATATGAAGAACTTAGGTAATATTATTAGTAAATAAGTTGTTGTAGTCAATGGAAATGTTTACGAAATATGTTTAATTCAAGCAATTGCCATAAATAATATAAATTAATTGTTTAACAAAAAGTAATCAAGTAATTGTTATGGCTATTTAAGTAAAAGAAATGAAATGATATAAACTTTAAGATCTAAATCTAAGAGAAAATAGAGTAATTTAAATGCTTGCTTAGCTGTTTGCTAATTGCTTCAGTAATTAAAATTAATTTTTAAAAGTGAGTTCAATTAAATCAAAGCACTCGCAAGTTATTAAAATTCCCAGCTATTGCTGTTAGTCAATCACATTCACTAGCAAATAATATAATATATTTAAAATTTAATTTCTGTGCTTTGAATTCGATTCAATTAATGTAATTAAACTCAAGCAAGTCTCTCAAGTTGTTGTAAAATTAAATAATTAAAAGTAATTAGCAAATGCTGAGATAACATTAAAGAGAAGCTGAAGCAATTGCTATGTTAAGCCTTAATTATCCAATTAATTGTGATACTGAACAGTTAAAAGTAATTAAGCTGAACAGAAGTAATAGAAATGCTCAACTGTTTTTTAATTACTCAAGTAATTTTAAAAGTAATTAGCAAAAGTAGTAAGCCTTAAGTAAATTTAGTGCTTATTTGTTTTCGTTTACTCAAGTAATTTTAAAAGTTAAAATTTTAATGCTCAACTGTTTAACAATTACTCAAGTAATTTAAAAAAGTAATTGGCAAAATTAGTGAAACTTAGATAAACCTTTTAACAATTACTCAAGTAATTAAAACAAATAAGTAAATGAAAGGCTGAACCGATAAATTAAATCCGCAACCTTTTCACAATAACTCAAGTAATTAAAGCAATTGTAAACCCAAGTAAATTATTTGCTGAACCATTTTCACAGTTACTCAAGTAATTGGAAAAAGTATTTAAGCCCATACCTAATTGAATTGTTTTTAATTGAAAACTTTGTTATTAATCTATATATTTGTATGCTTATTTTTTGGTACCAACCCGAACGCAGTCACTGCAACAACAATTGGAGTACTCGACAACGGCCCAGCAGCTGGTGCTGCCCGCCGGCAGCATTGTCAGCACCACAACGCGCGCTCTGGCGGTGCCCGTTTCAGAGGCGGCGCTGGTCCAGCTGCAGCGACGTCCCGTCTACATAAGCAATGCAACGATGAGCAGCTTGGCGGGCGCCACATATGTGCGCATGCCGGCCGCGGCTGTGATCAGCCGCAGTCCGATGACCGTACTGAATGTGGTGCAGCAAACGGGCGGACCCACCGCACAGCTCATATTGCAGGCGGCCACGGCGGCGGCAGCGGCACAGGCGCCGCCACAGCCACAGTCAGCAGCAGCAGCAGCAACGGTTGCAGCAGCCGCAGCAGCAGCGCCGTCGCCCAGCAACGAGCAGCAGCAGCAGCAACTGGCGGCGCTGGCCCTGGCACAACAACAACAGCAGCAGCAACAACAACAGCAGCAGCAGCAGCAGCAACAGCAGCAGCAGCAGCAGCAACAACAGCAGCAGCAGCAACAACAGCAGCAACAGCAACAGCAACAACATCATCAGTCCATCAAGCCAGCGCCTGCCACCAGCAGCGTGGCAACATCCACGACCAGCTACCAGTGCATGGAATGCGTGGAGAAGTTCGATTCAAAGGAACTCTTTGATATACATCGCAGCGGGCATGCCAACAATATGAAGTGCGCCATCTGCAACATGGTCCTGAAGTCGCTTAAAAACTATGAGAAACATTGCCTGCGCTGCAAGCCCTACGAGTGCCAGATATGTGGTCGTGTTGTGCGCTTTCGCCCAAACTTTATTAAGCATATGCGCGTGCATACGGGCCAGCAATCGGAAAGGCATAAATACAAATGCGAGGTGTGCCACAAGGAGTTCATGAGCTTTGAATACTTTAAGGTGCACAAGAAGATACACAACGAGAACGTGAATCTGACCTGCGAGATATGCGGCAAGGTGTTCAGTGCGCTTGCCTCGCTGCGCGGCCACTCCAAGCTGCATTCGGGCGTCAAGCTGCACAAGTGAGTGATTCGAATGTTGCCAGCAGTATAAACAATATTATCCATATATTTCTTTTTCTTCCCCCTAACAGATGCGACGTCTGTGGCAAGGGCTTTGGTCAGCGCTATAATCTGAAAATACATGCGCGCACGCACACGGGCGATTTTCCGTTTGAGTGCAAGGTGTGCAAGAAGAAGCTGCATACGCAATCCTCACTGCAGACGCACATGCAGGTGCATCTGCGGGATCAGCCCAAGGGCAGCGCCGCCATCAGTAGCAACAGCAACAGCGGCGTCGCCGCAGCCGCCGCCACCGCCGCCAGCACCACCACCAGCACCGGCAACAATAGCAACAGCAACAGCAATGCTGTCGCAGCCGTGTCAGCAGCCAATGTCAAACTGGAACCGGGTCTGGAACAACCCGGCACCAGTCTGCAACAGCAGCAGCAACAACATCTGCAGCAGCAACAGCAACACGATGTGGACATGGATGATCAGTCTGGCGTGAGCGATGAGGAGACTGAGAGTGCTGTCCATAATTTGACCAATAATCGTTTAACCACCGGCGAAGACTCCTCGAATGAGTCCTCATCGAATGCCTCGCTACAGCAGCCGCACTCTTCCTCAGCCAGCTCAACGCACTCGCAACAGCAGCAGCAACAGCCGCAGCAGCAGCAGCAGCAATATATTGTGTCCACGCCCACGCGCACCATTGTCATCAAGAACTACGTGCAACAGCAGCAGCAGCAACAACAGCAGCAGCAGCAGCAGCAGCAATCGTCAGAGCAGCCAACTGGCAATGGCAACTGCTCGAGCGTGCTGCACACACAGGTCATACAGAGCGGTGCGGGCACCAGCAACGGCCATCACATCATCAACGCCAACAACAATGCCAGCAACAACAGCAGCGGTGGCGGCGGCAGCAGCCACACAAGCAACAGCAGCAACGGCACCAATAACAGCAACAACAGCAGCAGCAGCATCAGTACCTGCAATGTTGCAACACAAGCCACAGCCAGCAATTTGGCGCAGCAACTGTTGCGCAAAACGCCCATCATACACTCGACGGGCACGCTTAGCTCCGCGCTCGCCAGCGTGGTGCAGCAGACGGGTGGTAAGTAACGAGTAGCGAGTAGCCAATAGCGAGAGAATGTAAGAAGTTGACAGAATAATGTTAAACTTGAATGTGAAAAAAAAGTATGTAAAAGCGGCGAGTGACGAGTAGCAGGTAACGAGTAAAATTCAGCGATTAGCAAGACTGGAAACTTTAGAAATCAAAAAAATTTAAGGCATTATAAATAGTTTGACTTGAATGAGCAAAAAGTCACTTACGAGTGGCGAGTAGAAAGTAACGAGTGTCGAGTAGCAAGTAACGAGTAGCTAGTCAAAAGAAACGAGCAGAGAATAACAAGAGTTGAATGTGATTGATCAAACGAATAATGTACAAATCTTTATTCATACATCAAATCAAAAGACTTCTGTTACTCTTTATTAAACAATTTATTTGAATGGGAAGTCACTTGTGAGTGGCGAGTAATAAGTAACGAGTGGCGAGTAACAAATATCGAGTGGCGAATAGCCCGAGGGGAATGTGATATATCAAAAGAATTATATACAAACCTTTATTAATACAATCTTTACAAATACATCGTGGCGAGAAATGAGAGGAAAGAAGCGAGTATCAGGAGGGGAATGTACAAAAGAAAAGTTTCAAAGTATTTATTGTAAAATGAAAGAGATGTAAAACTATTATTTATTTTAAATTTACTAGTCCAGTTTAAATAAGCAAAAATAAAAAGGCGAAAGTGACGAGTTACGAAAAGCTTCAAAATTGGCTGTCATAGTTTAGAAATTTGAAGAGAGATTTGCCAAAAACAAAAGAGAAGATGGACGGCAACAATATATAGGGATACAAATAAAAAGCAGCGAATAAATAAAAGGATTATATATTATACGATAGTACGAGAGTATAAATGATCAAGAAATTGAACAGACCTGAGAATGTTGAGTATCATAAGCACAGTCCAATATATATATATATATATATTTGTTTGTATTAAATACCTAGGCTAATGCGCTATGCGGTATATCCATCCGTATAAAAAATCTGGCTTAGTCAGAGGCTAAGCATGTTTTTCTTTTTATTTTCTAATAAATTTGCGAAATGCTCTTGCATAAAACATTTTGTCCCTCATCCGATCAAACATAGATTTAAGGATCCATGAGAATTAATTTGAATCAAAGTCAGATTTTGAAATTAATGTAAACATTAATATGAGACATAACTTTGCTTTACGGATTAGTTAAAATTCCAAATTCACGATCGGAAAATGCGAGGAATAACTGTGTTAAACTCTTAAACTCTTCTATTTCTTATATCTCAAAAACATTCGACTAATTTTGATATGAACTTTTCTATACACATAATCTGGAACTACTTGAGCCGAACTACCTCTTTTAGGTCGTGGGATCTGACATGGTCTATGTTATAGATCCTGAGTTCTGGCATGGTTTATACTAAAGATCCTGCAATCTGTCATGGTTTATATATATAGCTGAACTAATGATTGATTTGATTGGTTTTCTTCTTTTAGTTGGTTCGCCGGCGCAATCGCCATCATCTTCATCCACATCGTGTTCCTCCACCGTGCTGGTGTCCAAGGCGACGGGTGTGCCGTTGTCGATTGCCTCATCGGCGGCGCTGGGCGGCTCCACAATAATTCGCAGCACGCGCAATCATCATCATCAGCAGCAACAGCAGCAGCAACAGCAGCAGCAACAACAGCAGCAGCAACAACAGCAGCAGCAGCAGCAGAGCAACTGCAGCAGTCTGCGAGTTGTGACTGGACAGCAGCAGCAGCAGCAGCAGCGTAATAACCACCGAAATCACCACCGACGTCGTCATCTGGCGGACATGGATGACGATGATGATGATGACGATAATGATGAGGATGAGACAAGCGCACAGTTGCGCGCTGCCACCAATGGGCATCATCATCATCATCATCAGCAACAGCCGCAGCAGCAGCAGCAACAGCAGCAGCAGCAGCACCTGAATCAAAATCATAATCATGGCCACAGCCATAATCACAACCACAACCATCATCATCATCATCACAATCATTTCGATGATGATGATGATGATGAGAAATCATCACCGTCCCTGGCAACAGCTGCCATTATCAAAGTGGAACCGAATCTCTACTCATCGGGCTCCGGCGATAATTCCAACGACATGTTCATCAAAGAGGAGGTCATGTTCGAAGATTCAGCCGCACCACATTCACCACAATCGCCGCCCAGCTCCAAATTTCGCATCTCGAACTTTGACAGCGATCTGGTTGATCATCATGTCGATCTAAATCATTCGCTGCCGCCATATGGTAACCTCTTTGAGCCGCACTCAATACCCGACAGCATACCCGTACAGCTCTATCCGGATGATGATGATGATTTCCGTTTGGATCACAGCTCGCTGGGTGGACTGCACAATACCTCGTCCTCGACCACTGATGGCGATTTCATCAAAAAGGAATGGGTATACGGCAGCGGCACCAGCAGCTATGCCATGAATGGTAAATTTGATGATGACAGCGATGCCCTCTGCGATGCCGCCAACTTTATATACAATTGAGTGAAGCGACGTGTGCTCCGACGTGTACACGACGCGGCCATGTCCACTGTATGCTGACCCAAGGGGCAGGGCGACAAGCGGGAGCAGCAGCAGCAGCAGCAGCACCTGCAGCAGGGGAAGCACCAGCAGCAACAAATTCGAATTCTTAACGCACACACACACCCACACCCACAAAAACACACACACATGCAGCACATGTTCGTGTGCATACATATATATATACCAGCCCCATGTATCCTTAATATATATATATATATATATATACATATATATATCTATAGATATTTATGTATGTGTTTAGAGAGAGATTATGTTTTTTTTTCCTTGTATACACATGTATATTTATATATATACACTTATCTAATATATATATATATATATATATATATATATATATGTATATCTATAGTAATTTGCTATCTCTGTCGCGCTCGTGATCTTAACGTGATCTTAAACTAAATCAATGTGTAAAACGTATTTGTAACTGTATTTTGTAGTTGTTTCTATATAATTGAAAAAAAGGCAAAAAAAAAAAACCAACAAAAAAAATATGAAAGCAGCAACTGCTCTGCTAGGATGTATGAGAATGTTGCAATCTGTCTCTTTCACACACACACACACAATATCATACCTATAGTGTCTGTCTGTCTCGCTCACTCTATATCTCTCTCTTTGTCTCTGTGTGTCTTTGTCCAGTTCGTAAGCAACAAATTGTCTTGAAATTTTCTTAGTTTTATCATTTCTTGTATTTTGTTTAAACTATTTGTCGCTACATGCCTTAACTCTCCCCACACACTCTCCCTCTCTCCCTCTCTCTTTCTCTCTTTGTGTCCACTTGTTTTTGCGCTCTCTTTCCTTAACTTGCACGACTTTCAGTTTTGTTAGCTTTGATCTCGCTTACAGTTGATTTTTCATTTGTTAACTATCAACCAAGTTTTGGCCTTTATCTCACAGATATATATACATATATATATATATATATATATATAATCAACTTTATTGACGCCCTGAAATTGACTTTAAAGAGAACCCGCAGCCCAGGCGTGCCAAATGTTTGCCCATTCGTCATATCTTTCTAATTTTTTGTTTTTTTTTTCAGTATTGTTTTTCGGCCCCGAAACCAAATTTTGTTAATTAAGATTTCTAAACTTAGGCAAGAGATCATCAGGAAACGCGTTCCAAAAAAAAAAAAAAGAAGCAAATTCTCAAATATATAAATATATATAGTTTTCGTCAGTATTTTTTGTTTAAATACTTTCCGCTAGCCAACCTCACCTCTTCTCTCTATATATATTATATTTAGTTTATAACTTTCTCTTCCCCCCGATCTTATGTGCAATTCTCACAACATGCCCACAATGCCACGCCCCCAAACTAACTTTGAAATTTTGCTATAAAAAAAATATATATCTATATACATAACAATTCGTATTATGATCTTGAACAAGAAGAAGAGTTCGAGAACTCTAGCAAGTTTTTGTGCTTTAAAACTTAAAATTGAAATTATTGTGGTTTCCTTAATTAGCTGCTAAGTTTTAATTTTAATTAATTTCGCATACACACACACACACACACATATACACCTACAAATACATATATACACACATATTTATATGCTACTTATATATGTATGTCTAATATAATATTATATATAGAGCGAGTTATATTTAAGCGCCTATTTTTTTCATAGTCATAAGCTCGAGAGCATGCTTTATATATACACACGACACACACACGCACACACACACATACACACATACACACATAGATATGTATGTATATGTGTATATATACTTATGCATATACATATATATATATATATAGCTAATATAATATTTAAAGCTACGTTCATGATCTTAACATATATAATACCTACAAAATATATATATATATATATATATATATATGTATATATATAGAAATATATACAAATTGATTTTCTTTGCATTTAATGAAATTTTAATTTTATTTGCTAATTCGCCTAAATAACACGTTTTTTTTTTTGATTTCTCTGTGTTTTTGCTCTTGGTAGTTCTCATATTTTTTCTGTTTGTTTTTGGAAGCATGTACATTTAACTCCAAAAAGAAAATATATAAAAAAAAAAAGCGTGGTATATATATATAACGAAAGTATGCTACTTATATACCATATACAACATATGTATATATACATGGCTAGTAACGTTTACGAAACAGCGTAGAAACGCGCAAGAACGTTAAAAAAAAAAAACAGAAAGAAAGAATGAAAGTTGACAAGTTTTTTAGCGCAAATTGAAATTAACAAATTTATTCAAAGCATTTAATGTTAACAAATATCAAAAAAAAAAAAAAAAAAAAACAAAAAAAAAATAGTTGTAAAACAAAGCAGAAGCATAATTATCTCAATGTTCGTTTTCCAATTGGACGCAATCTTTAATTTACGCAAAACAAACGTTTTTTTAGGGACCTGCCTGAAAAAAAAAAGAATATAAAAAAATAAAAGAAAATAAAATTATATAAATATATATAAAGCAATTATTATATAATTATTACGTAGCTGCAAAATTAGCCTAATAGTTAACAAAGCTAACACACACACACACACACACACACACACACACACATACACATGAAATGTTTCTTTTTCGTTTTCGCTTTGTTGCGTCATCCTTAAACGTTTCGTTGATGTCGCGCTGCGTCGCAAACAATCCTTAAGCATAATCATGTTTGTTGTTGCCCAACTTTTGTTTGTTATGCCTAACGTTAATGTTTATTATTGCATTTAAGCAATATTTACACACACACACACACACACACACACACACACACACACACACACACAGCTGCAAGCACTTATATATATCAATGTATGTATATATATTCCTTGTAACTTCTTAAATTGCATTTTTTGGCTTGTTGTTTTTGCGCTTTGCTCGCTTTTTTTTTGGCATCCAAATGCCAGGCTCGTGCTGTGGCATTCAGCTCATGCTCAACACACACACACACACACACACACTCCCTCACACACACACACACGCTCTTTAAAAAGTCTTCCGCACCGACTTTAGTGGTTTTTTGAGGCGATTTGTTAGAGAATATATACGTCTGCCAGTTGGAACATACATATTTAATAATTGTTTCATAATGAACAAAAAAAAAAGGAAACATTTAGTTTATAAGCGAGATTAACATTAACATTAAAGCCAGCACGAAAGTGTCAGATTCGGTATACCGAAGCTTTGAATACCCTTGCAGTCATATTTAATAGATCCCAACTGGAATTTGGCAAAGAATTTAAGAAATTTCCACAATTCTTTTCTAAATATAGCTAAATGATATGGTTAAGAGCTAAAGCTAAATGGCTTGATAAAGCGTATAGAGCTAAAGGATATAGTAAAGAAAAAAAGCTAACTGCTATGGTAAAGAAATAGAGCCAAATGATATAGTATGGAAATAAAGCTAAATGATATGCAAAAGCGATAAAGCTAAATGTTATAGTAAATCGATTTGTTTGATTATGATTTATGCGCTATATACTGCAAAAAAGATTTAGCTAGTTCGAAGACCCGACTAAAAAAAAAACCTTCATCCCGAATTCGTTTATGGTTATCTCTAAGAAAAATGTATTTGTCAAAGTCTTGAAAAAGACCCGAATTGCTATGGCAGCTATATGATATACTGAACCGATTTGTATAGTTCGAATTTATGTGCCATTTTGTGTCAAGCGAAGGAACTTTATAAGAATGCCAAAAGTTCAGAGAGAACCCTTTATAATCATAGAAGAATGCGCCGAAGGATCTGTATTGTAATATTGACTGCAAAGGTATACGAAAAGCATCCACAACTTGAAGCAATTTCAGGAATTCGAAAGAAATAAAAGCACTGCCCCAACAAGAAGCCTAATCGCGCGCAAAGAGAGAGAAAGAGAAAGAAAAAAGAGAGAGAGAGAGAGAGAGAGAGTGGGAGAGTGTGGCGGAACTCTGGCACAGACACCCTATATAAGCAATTTCCCTTTTTTCCAATTTTACACAAAAACAAATAAAATCAGAGAGGAAAAAAAAGGAATTTATTTTGTATATGGAAAATCTATTTTATATAGTGTGACTAGAAGAAGAAGCAGCTGCCAGCGGAGCAACAGCAGCAAAACAAAATATGTATAAAGATATATAAAACAGAACTAAAGCTGTATCTCGCCCCACTGTACACACACACACACACACAGAGAGAGAGACACACACACACACACACACACACAGACAGAGAAGAACCCGCCCGCAACAGCCCACAGAAAACCAGAAATCGGGCGAGCAGAAGAAGTAGAAGAGGAGAGGAGTAAAAAGCCAATGCAATATCTACGCAATTCTAAAACCAAAAAAAACACAAACAAGAAGAAGAATTAAACAAAACAAAAAACAACAACAACAACAACAACAAAAAACTCAACGACTGCGCACACAAAACGTGAACAAATTTTTTTGTACTATAAAAAAACAAAAATGAAATTCTCTTAAGTAAAAAAAAAAACAAACAAAAAAAAACAGAACCTAACTTTAAAAGAAAGCGAAGCGAAATGGAAAAAGGAAGCGAAAAACTATTTTTTAAGTGTAAACCAAGCCTCAAAATTAACAACAACAAAAAAAATCATAATAAATAAATAAAGGCTTGGATGCCAAATTTTTCAGCAATAAATTAAAAAGAAAAGAAAAAAATTAAAAAAGAAAAAAATAAGTCAAGCGTAACAAGATAATTTTTAGGCATATACATACACATATATGTACAAATTCACGCACACACACACACACACACACACACACACTGAGATTCGCGTACACGGCGAGAAAAACTATGGCAAACTGTTATTTATATTTTTTAGATTTTTTTTTTCGAATTTTGTTAGAACTGGAGAAAGTTAACAGAACCCGACCCTAAAGTAATGCCACGCCCAAGTGAAAAAAAACACACACACACACTAAGAGTCACCTACACTGAGAAAAAACATGTCAAATTGTTTTTTTTTTATCTAATATATTTGCAGCATTTGTTAAGTTTAAACTTTCAACAAATTTGGGCAGAATTTAGAGAAAAATAACAAAAGCCGCCCCCAAAGTAATGCCACGCCCACTTAAGAGAGTCGTCTACACTGAGTAAAAAATATGGCGAATTGTTTTCTTTTTTTTAGCTAAAAATTGTTTAAACAGAGCCCGCCCCTAAAGTAATTGCCACGCCCACTTCAGAAAACAAACACACACACACAAACAAACATTAGACGAAGCGCAATATTTTATATTCTAAAATGCAAAAAAAAAAAAACAAAAACTTAAAAATAGGAACCAAAAAGTTGACGCAAAACAAAATATATATCACAAATACATTTTTTTCTATATATTTTTTTTTAAGTAAATGTACCTAACAAAATTGCAAATGAAAACGAAACAGAAAACAGAGAAGAAAAAAAGAACACAAAAACTTAATTGAATACAAAAAAAATTTCAATTTCAACAATCACAACTTGAGACGTCTTCGATTTGGGGGCAAAAAAAAAAAAAAACAGAAAAATATATATAAAAAAGAAGAAGAGAACATTTACATAAAACTAATCGTATATATACACAAACATATAGTATATACATAAATTTAATTAAATGTGTAGTTTCGAACTAAAAAAAAAAACATAACAAAGGCAAATACTTCTATTGCATGATAATAATAATAATAACATATGAAATTGTTTTTAATGGCATAAGATTTATATGAGAAAAGCAAAAACAAAGAAAAACAAAAGAAATTGGCGCCCAAATGTGTAAATTATTTTTAAACGAGCTAAAAACAACATAAAATCTGTTAAAAAAAAAAAAACTAATACTTAAAAAAAGAAAGAAAGAAAACAAATAATAGCACAAAAGTCGTACGACCCTAAAACTTGAATTTTGTTGGAATTGATTTTGCCAATTTTGTCAATTTTTCACATTTGTGTTGTACCTATTTTTCTACACTGAAAAAAAAAACAAAAACAAACAGCAAAACTGGCCGCAACTGAAGAAAACGTTTTTTAAGCGCATTTTCGAGAAATATTCAAAAATTTCAAACAAAAAGCAAACCAAGCCGAACAATTTCAATCTGAACAACAACCTAAAGCCCACGAAATATATATATAAACAGATCTATATATATGTATATGTATATGTGCATATGTGCATATGCATATGTATATATTTAGATAACAAAACAAACGAACACAAAAGCAAAAACATATTTATATATATATTATGAATGTCTAGTCGTATTTTCAGTATTATACAAAACTAAAAAAAAAAAAACTAAAAAAAAAAAAAAAAAATGTGCGTGAACAAATTTTTGAAAAAAAAACAAAAACAATTAAGTGTGTAGCGTGTACAATAAAAACAATTAAAGAATATATAAAAAAAAATATATATATATATAT